TGAATCAGTCCTCTGCACAGGGATCAGTTTGCTGAGTGTGCTGTATAATGAACTTGTTTCTAAGCTGTGCATCTGACACGTGTGTTGACCTCTCGCTGACCACAGGCAGGAGGAAGAGGAATATTTAATACACAAGACGTCCCCACAGGGTTTCACACATACGCTGTAAAGTGCTTCAAGTAAATTCTGTTTCAGATGAATCTTATTTCTGCTTTGTTGGTGTCATATTAGTGTCATATTCCATAACCTTGAAATTACAGTTGGTCCCCTTTAAACTGGTGTTCTAATTCTGCTTTCCTGCTCCTTTAGCTCAGTTTTCTTCACATTGTTCTGCTGCAGCTCAACCGTCGCTTTTGTTTGAGAGAAAAGAAAAGCAGCACAGTAGCGACTAAATCAGGTTTTGTGTTTGGTTGAAGCAAATACTGGAAAAACTGCAAACTTCCAAGTTCCTGAAAATGAATTTGCAGCGTGAGAGGAATCAAATGATTTCAGTACATGAAACCAGTTGCATTATTTGTTAACTTCATATAAGGGCTGCAAGGTGGAGCGGTGGTTAGCACAGTCACCTCGCAGCTAGAAGGTCGCCAGTTCACGTCCCAGTGAGGACACCCGGGATCTTTCTGTGGAGTTTCCATGTTCTCCAGCTTCCTCCCACAAGGTCCAGAAACATGCTGAGGTTAATTGGTGATTCTAAATTGTCAGTTGGTGTGAATGTGAGTGTGCTTGGTTGTCTGTCTCTAAGTGTATAGACTGGTTACCTGTCCAGGTGAACCTGCCTTCACCCTGAGTCAGCTGGGATAGACTCCAGCCCCCCATGACCCTAATGAGGATTAAGGTGTAGAGATGATGGATGGATGGAGCTTCATATAAACTTAATTCCAATTCGTGTTACCAGTTGAAGCAAGACATTTTAGTTGGTCCAACTACTGTGGCAATGGCATCCAAGCTAACATCCCTGAGGAATAGTTTGATCAGAGAGTTTTGTCGACTAAAACTTTAACCACCTTGTGCATATTCTGAATTGAGACATGCCTGTATGTGGGGAGGTTCTCATTTCTTTTGTGAGGCTGCTTCAGCTAGAATGACCTTTTCAGCCCCCATGTCTCAAAGAAAAGTCTGGCAGTGTAGAAATTTTTGCAGTTTCATCTTCAGTCATGTGATGCACAGACGTAAGGAGGGAGTGATGGTAGAGTTTCCTCTGTTCATTCTAATAACTGAGGAGTGAGAGTCACTGTTATAATGAGAAATGAGATGGTCAGATGTCAGCAGGTTTTTTCATTGTTAGCATTTATTCAAGACTGAAACTTGCAATAAAATTAAAAACTTGAATTTAGAATTGCATAAATTCCAATACAAAATTTCGTCGAGGCGCTGCTGTTTATTAAGGTTTTACATGTGTTTAATTAAAAGAGAACTTTTCCAGCTTTTATCAGAGCACAATCTGATTGGCTGCTGCTCTTGACGTGCATCCAATCAGACTGCGCTGTGGGCGGGACGTAGCACGAGACCACATTGATGTCTACAGGTGAAGAGAGGCGGCAAATCTTTGAATTAATTTGTTGAACTGGTTAAAATAAACGGTGGCACAGACAACTATGAAATTGCTCATTACTGGCCAGGCTTCTAATTGGTCGTTCCGACGATTTCAGAGATTTTTCTGATCGTACCGATTGTGTTCTCCTTCCCAAAGTTGATGTGCTACACAGAAAAATCAAGCCACACCGTGCTCCTTTCTGTCAGATCCTTCAAATGAAATAAAAAGTCAAACAATGCAACACAGACCAGTAGACACATTTGCATCTTTAATTAGATTTCCGGTGATTTTTTTTTCCTTTTTGCTGAAGAAGAAGAAAACAGAAAGCTCTCTCAAACTCCTGAGTCAGAGTGCTCTTCACATCATGGTCAGTTCAGCCCAATAAATTCAAACAGGATGATAAATTAATCAGTAATTCCTCCATAGAGCAGACATGACATTTCTTATTTCCCGTGGCACCTTTTTGGACGGCGCAAAGCTTCGCTGCTTTGCTTTGAAATCACCAGCGTCCACGTTTCTGATCTGGAAAATCATACCCGGGGCGAAGTTCAGGGGGAAGAAAAACAAAAAAACAAAAAAACGTTCTATTAAAACCACAGCAGCTGTTTCAGGCGACTTCTTTGAGAATTTGGCAGCTTAATGCTTTTGCTGGAATTAAAATGGCTCAGTGAAACGACGGGTTGCGTAACTGTAGGATGCTTAAATCTGTAGTGAAAACATGTACTGCGTGACTCAGGCTGAGAGAGCACTTGTCTGTGCCAGACAAACTGTAGGCCAGCGTTGCAATGTCAGAGAGGGCAAATAAAAAAAAAAAAAACCAAAGTCCTGCTTGTAGAGAGATAGAGAGCACTCCAGTGAGATTAGTTGACTTTAACACACACACACACAAAAGAAAGTTCTGCACATAAATGCTCAAATATTAACACATCCACACAAATAATGACAAATGGAAAAGTGTTTACCGCTCCATGATGTTTGCTCGTGTGTGTGTTTGTGTGTGTTGTGCAGGGCTGGGACCGCACTAATCTAAAAAGCTCTCGCCGTTGCAAACTGTGAACTCTCTGCACCCCGAACGCTTAACGCCAACACTCAGCCCCTGTTGTGATATTACACTCTGCAGTGTGGCTGACATTCAGTCTGATCGACTGAGCAGCCATGTGTGGCGTGACTGACGCGCCGCGCCGCTCATAATCCCTTCATCAAGTAAATCACAAAAGCATTTTCCAATAATTTCTGCCTCCGATACGGCACTCAGGAAGCACAAACGCTCGATGCCGAGGTCTCGGCTTATTTCTGAGGTTGACGCTTTTCATGGGATCTGCTGTCGGTGGAGCCTTTTGTGGGAAACAACCCGAGAAATCGAACATTATTACTGAGATTTCTTTTTGCTTTTTGATAACTGAAATGTTTTCTGAAAGATAAAAATGCTGTTAAAGGGGAGTGCTGTGAGTTAGTGTTGAGATGCTTGAGAGATGGTTGAAAAGGTGAAAATAGTCCTTTTAAAAACACTACATTTCCCATAATGCAACTTGATCTACAGTGCTTAATGAATTTATTAGACCACCACCCAGCGTAAGGTTAATGCCACAGCTGCCCTAAATTAACAGCAATGGTGAGTTTTTATGTTTCTTTAATGGTTAATACACCAGTATGTGGAAGCTCTTTTACAAAAATACTATTTTAAATGCTAAAATATGATTATTATTGTTATCCACGATTTTTCAAATTTACTGCTTTCCAAAAAAAAAACCCTGAAAAAATATAAAAGCACATTATTATTTCTTGATTGAGATGCAAAATTCTAGTTATTTAGAACAGAAAAATGAATTTAAGTGGCTGATTAATTTCTGACTTCTCAGAGAAGCTCAGAGCCTCAAACTTGGGAATAAAAAAGAGAATTCATATTCCTCATTCCTGTTCAAAACGGTAAAACGTCGAGAGCTGAATTAAAGCACTTCATGATGCTGGATGCTCTATATGTAGATATATTGAGACATACAGGTGGCCAAATAAATTCATCAAACACTATCTTTCAAACTCACCCAAGAAAAACTGGACACTTCCTTCAAAACTCTTCCCCCAGAGCCACATACATGAAAAAGAAATCACATACCGCACGCTGACCTACATACGTGGTGTCTGTGGAGGGGCCCTTTAACTTAGTCCTGATTTATGGATTTCATAAAGTGTATTTTTGTCCCAGCCCTGTAGCATCCATGTGTAAATGTGTGGGCACCTCACCGCCTCTAATCCGTTCGCTCGGGTCACCCAGCGGCGCGACCAGTCTGGGACTCACTCGGTGCATATTTCTGGCCTGTTTTTTTTAACTAGCTGACACCTGGCAGGCGGAGCAGATAGCTGTTAACAGCTTAAACTCCTGGCAGATCTGTTTAATTCAGAGAGCTGCCGTCCTCAGACTGGATCACAGCCCAGCGAAGTGAGAGGTGGCGGCGGCGGCGGCGGCGGCAGGAGGGGGTAGAAGCTCGTTTGGCTGCCATTAAGTGAAGCCAAGAGTGTTTGGCAGAGAGTGAGAGCAGGCAGCGCTGTTGACGGGGGCCAGCTAAGTGGCCTGAAACTTCTGCAAAAAAAAGAAAAAAGAACGAGCAGGAGGGCTCAATAGGGGCAACTCCTACACTACAGGAGCATCTGGATGGCTGTTACATCCCTCTTGACATCATGAATCACACTAGACTGTCTTTGTGTGCGGACATATGTGACAGGAAGATAATTGCGGGGGATGATGGCGATAATTCTTTTTGCTTTCAGAAAGAGAAAATGCACACATCTGCATGTTTTCTTCATGTTTTTTTTTTGTTTTTTTAACATGGAAAACACTCGCGCACGCTCACACATAGTCAGCACATTGTACTTCTATTTTTTCCTCTTTTTTTGTCGTTCCTCAAACCCAAAAGACGCTCCATCTCCAGAGAGAGAGAGAATACATTCGTTCCAAGCGATGGCGATGAAGATTACAATATCTTGATAGGATAGACAAACAGATTAATTACTTCATGGCTAAAACCTGAGTTATTCCAAAGTATTTCCATATGAAACTGCACAACAATGCACATCAAAAATAAATGATGCATCATTAATCTCATACAGAGTATTATTTGCATGACTAAAGCTATGCTAATATATTCATGTGATATATACACACATCGACGTATGGGTTATTCATGGATGTCTCCGGGGGTCTGAGATTATCTGAGAGGTCCGGTGGAAACGCAGAACCACATTATGACAGGATGAGCGATTTTTTTTTTTTCCTTTTTTTTTGTTTTTTTCTGTCTTTCCGAAGCGCTTCAGAAAGTACGTCCTCGCAACAGAGGCGCGACTACGATGGTTTTTTACACATTTAAAATTTGGATTTTGCTTTCAGACTCAACAAGCGGACAGATACGGCGACTATGATGTAGATAGTCCATCTGTCTTCAGCTGGTTCCTCGTATTTTTTGTACTGTTTTGGCCGTTTTTTTTTCTTTTGTTGTTGTCGTTGTTAGTCCGTGACCTTCACTCTGGAAACGAGGAAGAGCAGAGGCACAGCGTCATTTTACTTCATCTTCAGCCTCTTTTTGTTCTGCTATTGCCTTTCCTCCTTCTTCCAGCCCTCTCCAGGATGAAAGCAGGTGTGACCGTTTTATATTGAGTTGAAGGGCCGAGCACTACAGTTGAGCAATGTTCAGTCACTGGATCAGCGCTAACAGGTTTCCTCGTGGCACTGGAGGGCTCCGCTGCGTCCGTCATCCCGCTGCCTTTGTCACAAAAAATCCTCATAGTCCAAGAGTTTGGAGTGTTGGCGTGTTTTCCAAAGGCGGTACAGGCGGAAGTCGAAGTACATCTCAATCATCTCTTTGCCTTAAAGGGTAGATGAGACGGGAAGGGTTTGAATTATACATGTGGGAAACACAATGCAACACATAGTACGACAACGGTAGTGTGTTTGAGTAGGAGGTTTTCTGATCCTCACTCAGAATGGGCCTTCAGGAGGTGAACACAGTTAGCATGATTTATCCAAGGACAGTAAATTCTCGTAGGTTGGTCGTAGCAGCTGCTTGAGTTTCTTGAAGACGTTTCATCACCTCTCATCCAAGAGGCTTCATCAGGTCTGACTGACTAGTTGGGAGTTCCAGATACAGTCGTGACTCGATAATCCGACCCTTAATAATCCGAAAACCTTGTTATCTGACAGGAAAAATGAACGGAACCCATAAAAAAACAGCCTTAGCATACCGACAGCCTTGGATTCTGACTCCGACGTGACATTTTACATCACAAATAAGGATAACGGCGTATTATCTGACTGAACAATCTGACAGGTTGATGTTAACCGATGGGAATGAGCACAAGCACAATGGTCAATCAGATGTGAAATCCAGCGATGTGAAGTGTTCTAACAATACACTAGTTATTATAGCAACTAATGAGCCTTCCAGCTTCAAGCCCTCCTTTTATCTCGACCTCCGTTTCGACAATCCGACAGCCTTGCTATCCGACATAGAAGAAGGTTTTACATTTAGCGTCAGATTATCGAGTCACGACTCTTTAGGAGCCATTAACACTTGAGTTTCGGGTTCAATTGGGGGGTTTGTTGCTCCTCCACCTCATCCCAACTAGTCAGTCAGAAGTGATGAAGCCTCTTGGATGAGAGACGTCTTCAAGAAACTCAAGCGAATCCAGTTGCTACGACCAAACTACGAGAATAACCATAACCTGGATGACTGAGAATCTTCACAGACATGTACAGTAAAGAGTCTGTTCCTTGACAAAAACCTATGTCTGGTGTTTCTTAACAGTTTCATAAAAACATCTAAAGTGAATCTAAAGAAATTCGTGATTCTTATCATTTGGGCTTCTTTGGCGTCCTTGGTTGGCCCCAAAAATTAATCTATGGAGGGAAAGACCATCTATTCTCTATATTGTATGAAGGATGTTGAACCAATCAGGTTGTATTTGTGCTTTATACAAAAACCTGAGAAGGAAAGTGGAGCCGGCCTATAGGAGGTTTAAAGGTGAGAGAAGTAATGTCCTGTCCTTTTAGCAAACAGTCTTTTGAACCTGACAAAGGCTGTAGATTGAATTTCGGTTGATCCTAATTGCATTTTACTTCCTTAAATTCAGCCCAGTATTTTCTGAACCAGACAGGATGGTGTTTGCCTGATATGATTTATGTCCAGTGTAAATAAATGCGCCCTTGGTGTCGGTGAGCTGACATGTGGCAGGTCTGACTAACAGACATGGGATCCTTTTATCAAGTGCAGCCATGATCTCTCTTGAACTTTGCCTCCTCGTGGTTTTGTTTTCCATTACTAACAGAATACTTTAATCATAGTTTATTTACCACAGCGTTTTTTTTTTTTTTTCCTTCATAAACTCCAAGGCTACTCCATCGATTTTACCGTTCAGTGTTTGTTGCCTTTGAAAAATAGCTGTTTTTAATGTCTGCGGCGTTCGGAGTACCTTTCCAGGGTTTGAAAAACATAACCCTGACGACAACATCAGGTTTATCTTGGCTTGAGCTTGAGACTTTATATATTAAATAGAAATCCTGTTTTACAAACCTGAGGTGTGGGTTGTCAGAGAAGTGGGCTTTTAGGAGGCAGGAGAGGTCTAATGAAAGATGCTATCAGTGTTTTTTGGAGCTTGACTCATATAAACAAAGACTCACAATATCGCAGCCTCTGCTGCTTCAATTTTGGACATTATTTTCCTGATCTGCCTCCTGGGAGTCTTACACCCTTGTTGCTTGGTGTAAATATCGCGGAAAGTGAGATTTTTCTTGTTTTTCAGAGGTTTTTGCAGAATCCTCCAACGTCGACGCTCTCGTTAAACGCCGTGAGATCCGTGTGTGTGATTTGTGTTTGAGGAGTCTTTCACTGCACCCGTGTTGACCCGCGCAAATGGGTTCTTCATTTATTTTACTGCGAGCGTCTATTTAATGTGCGATTTGTAAATAATCAGGGGTGCAGAGGTTGCTGTCTTTTTGATGGAGAGGTAAAAGGAGGTGTTGTTAGTGGTTCACAAAGGAGGTGAGAGAGAGAGTCTAAAGAAAAAAGGGGAGAGCCTGGATCTGCTCGTAACAGAAAGTTCCTGAAATGAGAACAGGCTTTCATCACACAGACTTATTGTGCTGAATAGAAAGTACTGGACGTCCTTTTCTCCCACCTGTGGCTACAAAAGGAGAAGTGTGAGGAGGTAACTATATTCTCCTGTGGGTTTGGAGGTCGTGCACAAGCTGAAGTATGAGACCTGAAACACGTGGATCTGTTGCATTAATATAATATAACATCGGTCAAATAGTGCAGCAATAAACAGATTTATGAACAGCTGCTTGTGTAAACTCCTCTTCCAGTCGTCAGCTGGCACGCATCTGCATATGAAGCGGCTGTGATGCACGCGTGTTCGTCTGAATCATCGCGTGTTCGAGCCGCTGCATGTTTTGTTTGGACCCACCTTGCGCAGACAGCTCCAGCGGTGACTCGAACTCGACAGAATAAGGCCTCATCAGATTCTTCAGTTTCTGGAACAGCTGTTGGGCCGAGATAAGAAAGCAAAACACCAATTAATCCTACTTCACTTGGATGCGCTCCCAGCAGGAGAGTCGGCGTTGTCAGACACAAAACGCACACAAACATAGAAACGGCACGAAAAAGGGGGACGGCGCTGAATCCGGTTTCGTTGCTGCCGAAGAGGCACGTTTTTCCGTAACGAGGAGGGCAGGAGACGCTGCAAAGGTGTGCTTTTTTTTTTTTTTAATTTACATGACCTCATTTTCTTTTTATGAATCAGCATCATAAAAGACCCTCGTGTTCCTTTTTAAGAGCCTTCATTACAGTAAAAACAGTGAACTGATCAGTGGATTAGAAGGAAAAAAATCACATATCGATGGGTCAATTACAGGAGTCTGATTTAGTGGGAGGAGGAACGCTGTCGGTTTGTCTGTTCCCAATCAAATCATCCTTTTCTTTGATTATTCCATCAATCAGAAGAAATAATTAATGCAGCAATCAACAGCGAACGCAATCATTGGCCGCCGCTCTAATGATCTCATGACAGTTTAACGTGAGGAGCAGAGAAGTTTTCGGTTTTTCAGCCTCCGCCGATAGTTTCTTGCTTCACTGACGCACTGCTGCCCACACACAACAAGTGAAGCTCACTGTTTTCTCACTCGAAATAAAGAATCTCCCATGCCAAAGGAATCAAAGGCAAAATAATGCCCTTGTTTTTTCTCTCCTCACGACGCTAAAATGACGACGGTAGAGGAAAAAAGCAACTTTCATTAACTCGTGTTTGCGGTCCTTTGGAAAAAGATGAAAGAAGATGGCTCCATGTCAGACGTGGAGGCGAGAACGTTTGGGGAGACGCAGGCGTCGCGACTTGTCTGTAGTACAGCGAGCGCTGGAGGCAAATGACAAATCTTAAATAATGTGCTGCATGTCGGGTGGTTTTCTGTCGGTCCTGGGTGGCTCCTCGCAAGCTGTCGATGGCTGTTGTTGCCAAGATATTACAAGATGCAGATTTTGTGCTGACAAATCCAAAACACGGTGTGAGAATCTCCGGATGGCTGACATGGTTTAAAAAACTGGGTCACACCGTCTCTCTGACCTGCTCACCTACTCTTCTAAAACAACTATTACATTTTTCCGAAATCCCAAAATGTGACCTTTAACAGCAAAATACATTACAATAAATCTGGCTGAGAACCAAAGGCAGCATCACAAAGAGAGAAAGAGAGAGAGAGATCAGCTTGTGTTGTTCTACTGAGATCCAGTTGATATTTACTGTATTACTAAGCCTAAATACCTACTGTGGAGACCAGAACTTAGGTTCCTCCTTGACATTAGTCTCTTTTCAAATCTGGAGTCAGAAACCTAAAGCTTGATGTGTGCTTTAGTTGTTTGAATCGTGTTCATGTCAATACTTGTGTTTGCTTTGTGCTGTTGGGAGGCAGCAGTAGGGGAATTAGAATTTGGTGTTTACAAGTAGACTGAAGCAGGATTAGGGATACTGATGAGGGGCAAGGCAGAAGACGAGGAACATGCATGTCAGAAAATGTGTTGTACATCAGCTCTCGTAGGGCTACAAGGTGTCTCGGTGGTTAGCACCGTCGCCTCGCAGCTAGAAGGTCGCCGGTTTGCGTCCTGGTGAGGACACCCGGGATCTTTCTGTGTGGAGTCTCCATGTTCTCCCCGTGCAGCGTGGGTTCTCTCCGGGTTCTTCCTCCCACAAACATGCTGAGGTTAATTGGTGATTGTAAATTGTCCGTAGGTGTGAATGTGAGTGTGCTTGGTTGTCTGTCTCTAAGTGTAGCCCTGTGATAGACTGGTTACCTGTCCAGGTGAACCTGCCTTCACCCTGAGTCAGCTGGGATAGACTCCAGCCCCCCATGACCCGAGTGAGGATTATGCGGTGTAGAGATAATGGATGTCTGGTGGTTCTGTAGTTTAGCTAGCAACCTGAGGCTCATGCAAGGGAGGTAAGTGTCAGATTTCCTGGATTAATGAAGCTGGTGTGACTGTTTTTTGTGGACATTTGTTTCCATCATCTGGACTAAAGTCAACTACAGTGAACAAGTTGCTTCATCATGTAGGGAAAACAAAGGTTGATGCTATTATGCAACTAAGTGTAAATGCAACTACTTCAGCTAGACGTGAATAAAAAGTTGATCACAAAAAAACAAAAAAACAAATTGCATCCCTGTGCATGATCCGAAGTAAACTTTGGATAACGTTGGCAGGTGGGAGTGATGTCTGCTGTTTACTTGTGATATGATGTGTTAAGGAAGCTACAAGAATAATAAGTAAAAGGTTAGTCATCACCCAGTGGCTAAATGTATGCAGACCTTCATGAAGAAGGAGTCTTGTCTGAAAGATCTTTGCCGGCCTACACAGAGGCTTAACTCACCTTGAGGATAAATTGGAAGATTGACCAACATCAGCCTCACTAACATATGAGCAAATCTCTGCACCACAGAGCACAGCATATAAACTATAATGGTGTCCACATACTTTTGGCATCTCAGTAAAGGAGATGTTTTTGTTGGTCAAAATGAAACAACAATGTCAAGGTAGAAAAAAAAAAAAGTCCTCTGCGTATCGCCGAGCAAAACTGATCAATTGTCTGACTGCGCTGTTACAGAGGCTTCAGTAGATGACTCCCCCTTGTAAAAAAAAAAAATCATTTTGGGATCTTGGAACTGAACCAAACCCTTGAAAGAAGAGCAATGCGCCAGTTTTGTTGCTTTGGATTCAGATTCACACGCTCCTGTGTGTGTCGGGGTGGAGTTATCACTGATGTGCAGTCTGTTCTGCAGACTGTCCATCAACCCCGGAGAGATCCACTTTATGTAACAAAGCGTTTTTGGCAGACATGACTGGAACAGACAGTTAGGTCAAACAAACACCACTGGCTATGGTGTCTGTGGCAGCGTCGAGTGCCAGCTCGTTTGTGTGGTTTTTTTGATTTTTCTCTTCTTTCATGTTCGTGCGTATGTGGTTGTGTGCCTTTTTCGCTATTTGCTCAGATCGGGTAGAGAGAGGTGCAGCGTCGCTCGGCGTGTGAGCTCGTCGGTTATATCCAGTAACATTACTCAGAATAATAGTTACACAGGTGGAGGAGGAGATGGGGGGAAACCAAGAAAGCCAGCGTGGTGATTATCAGGGATGGAAGCAGACGGAAGCAGAGGGCAACAAACAGGGACATGAAATGAAGACAAAACTGGACAGAGGAAGAGACGACAACTCAAATCACAAAGCAGATTTTGCACATTATGAGTTAAGGTGAAGTTATGCATCGTCATACAGTGTGTGTCTGTGATCATATTTCATAGGCTGGTTACCTGGACATCAGTGTTGGCTCGCCTGCTTTTGACTAAGAGGCTGCATAAACACTGCATTTCACGGGCAGCAGAATAACATGGACCCAGCCTCTCCTGATTACTGAAATTAGTCTGTCACTATAAAACTGATGAAGGGCTATCTCACAAGAACACACTGGGCTCGTTTTCTTCAGCTGTCATTGTGCCGTAAATAATACCAACTGCTATGGAAATCTTATAGGAGCAAACTCACATGGCATCGCTCTTGCGGTCTCTATGTTATTCTTATGGAATCTGTTAAGTGACATGATGTGATCATATCATACAGAAGTGTTCACCACCTCCCCAACGAGTATGCTCGGGTCTGTATGACGTAAATGTCTGGGTCCACAAAACTCCTCAGTGGCAACTACGCTACAACAGCTACGGTACACAACTTCTGCAAATGCATGGAACAGAGTCCACCAACTATGCATCTGTGGCGTCCGTGGCTTAGAGCCGATGTTTGTCTGTATCTGCGAGTACACAAGGGTTCACTGGGGTCCAAGTGGCGTCAATTTCGCCATCTGCCCGAGTCAACGAGCGTCCATGCAAACTCCTCTGCAGACGTCTGCGTGCAGCCAAAAATTTGCGTCACAGCAGTAAACGGGTTAGACGCCACTCGACTGTATGAAACGTGACCTCCGAGTGGACCAGGACGTAGTTTCATAACGACTTCAGCAGCAGAGGCTTCCCACCAGCTCAGGGCTGTTTGAGTGACGGGAACCGTTGATGCAAGATTTCAGACTGTGGTCACGTTAGACAGTTCCACAGCCGACCTAACAGCTCGCACGGTGTCAAGCCGAAAGCACGCTTGTCAATCACGCCGGCTTGCTGGGCGTCTTTGTACCGCGCTGACATTTTGTTCTGGGGGATTTTTTTGCATCATTTCATCGCAAGAGTTGTTAAAAAGCTGGAAATAAAGTCCTCCAAGGTGACTAGTGTACTGATAATCAGCCAGTTTGTTCGCAACTGTCTGCAAACCGGTTTTAAAGTGGTTTATATTCCAACAGAGGAAGGTTAAATAAAAGTGGATGGTGGCACGCAGCTAATATGCGGCAACAGCTTCCACCACTCGGCAGCTCTCTGTTCCCTCAGCACAGCGAAGACCGTTGTTCAATAGCACAAATTTGCATGTTCACCTTTTTGTGAAACATTCGCCAAACAAGCACATGCACCAATCTATTGACATGAATTCATTTTTCCATTGAAGTGTGTCATGAAATGCTGCTGTGACCAGACTTTAGTGATGCATTTAAACTGTTCAAGATGTTTTTTTGTTCTTGTGTGGTGCATTAGTGTCTAAATACCTTCTCTCCATTGGGGTTGCCCAGGACATAGCATCCCATTATGTGGATCAGGTTTGGTTCCGGGTTGACTTTACTCATGAAGCGACTGAGTCTCTTCCAGAATCTGAACAAAGACAAAGGCTACGGTTACACGAGGCAACGTTTTGTTTCTCTGCAGAGTGTGATCAGGCGGATTAAAAGTTTCCATGAAATTAAATACACCAGAGGAAAGTAAAATGACCCCGTCCTGTTTACATGCGCCGCATTAAGCATTCAGAAGAGTTGAGTCAACACCGGACACACATACACGCGTCCTTTCATTGGTTTCCTGCTGCGGCTCGCGACAGAATACACTTTCTGCCGGGCTTATGAAACCGAGAGCGAGCCTCGGGTCGGTAAATGTCACCTATTCAAACACGGTCCACCCCCCCAGAGAGATGCGCATCACTCAGAATAGTCATAGATAGCATTCATAAATGACAAATTCACAGAGAGCGGTGCATGTTCCCAGTGGAACATCTCTGATTTAATCAGCGTTCACAGAAAGAGTAGCCTATTAATATCCTGTAAACAGAGCGAGGGGCATTTACAGGACAAATTACTGTCAGGAACTGTGACCCTTTGAAATGCACGATGAAAAGGTTAAATCCAGCACTTTAACATGAAATTAACATTTATTTGGGAATGTCAAATGTGAAACTTTTCTTTTTCACTTTCATGCCTCCCAGGAGTCATGGTGGGAGTCATCTGTCTATAAAGAGCAGGTTTCTGCTTGTTTTTATGCTTGTTTTCTATATTTACTGTGTTTAAGAACCTGTTAACAGCCACTAGGACACCAGCAGCCCAGTTAAGCTTGTTCAAAGTGGCTCAGCATTGCTCAGTGAGATATAAATGTTGACTTAGATATGCTACACATGGGTAGATTGGTTAAATTCTGCACCTTTCAATGCTTCAGTTCATTTTACAGAAAGCCCCTATAGCTCCCTGTAAAGTTAGACCAAGAAGATGGCATGTGATGATTGTTTAAATATGACTTACTGAAGACAAAGGAAGGGAAAAACTTTTTAGCCATGTTTGATTTGACTATTGTATTCAGGCAGGGATGGAAAAAAATACTGTAAAGTAATAGAAAATAACCACATTTTGATAAAATTGTGATGTTCCATGATTAAAATACATTTTCTAGCCTTAATTTGACACGACATTGAGTGTATTTTAGGCTTTTTGATAATTAGTGAAGTATATTAACATGTTTAAAGGCAATGAAAGTCTCACAGACAACATTTTTGTCATGAAAACTTGAACCAGTAATTCACTAATTCTATCTAATTAGAAAATATATAATTACAGCAATAAACTTGGATTCACCGTTTTTATGTTTTAATTAAAATGGACATATTTCTAAAATTCTGATAAATATGTGGATATATTTTAAGTCATTGGACATGAAATACATCAGTTTTATTATTTTTTTAAACTGGAAATTTTATGGCTGCAAATTCAGTCTTTTTTGTGATTTTTATTCATACTTTCGGTTGAGTTAAATACAGAAAAAAATTTGTAAAATTGCAGCTTTTTGTTGTTGTTTTTTTCAGTGCATGTTCAACAAGCAAATTTTCGAAAATTAGAGGATGGTGCCTTTTGAAATTCAGTCTCATACATTTATTTTATCACTACAGCTCTTTAGTTTTGAGCTCTGCTGTTTAGGTAGGCCAATTTGGCAAAATGTCTGTCATGTATTTAAACTAAATGTGGCTATGTAACAACATTCATGAAACAGAGAAGGACCCAGAAGTCTCTTACTGGCTCATGTCCTCCTCCTTCTCCACCTTAGCGAAGGTCGCCACTTTGTTCTTCAGTAAATACAGATGACCGGGGCCTCCCTAACAAACGCACAACAGAATAAAATACATCACAAATGTTACTGTGCATGCACTCGCGGTCATTGCGCAGCGCAGTGTGAAGGTTAACCAGTAAAACAAACAGTTCAACAAGGAACATGCCGTTACTTCTCCGTCTTCATCTCCTCCTTGTTCCTCACCTGACAAAAGATGAGCATCCTCCAGAACTTGCTTCCTCTCCTGTAAGCCGTGAGCTTCTTCTCTATTTCCTCTGTGACAGAAGAGAGGGTGGGATTGATGTGAGCGACGGGCGCCGCGAGAAGGCGAAAGGAAAACGAGGAGACGAGTAACAATACCGAGAGAAAGCGAGAACACAAAGGCAATCTCTGGAGGCTGAGTTCATGTCCAGGTGTAATATTAAGGAAGCAGGTAGAAGATGTAATTTAAACTGAACTCAGCGGGACCAGCCGGTAAAATAAAACTGATCAATGAAAGACGGTCAAATCTGAAATCTGTTCATAAATGTATTCACTGGCATCCTTTGAGCTCCTCTGTGAAGCTTTTTTTTTTTCATCCAGAGTTCATTATTATGTAGAAATCCCAGGAGACCATTTACTCTAAATGTCTCTATTATGAGCAACGTTTTCCGAATGCAGGAACCAATTTTAAAAACAGTAGTTAATCATTTTGCAGGATGTTAACCGGTTGCAAATGAACAGACAATATTGGGGATTTGTTGCCGGTGAGGTTTATCCTCTGGCTGTTTTCTTGACCTTTAACTCCCACGGTGTCAGAGTTCGAGCCCTCCTCGGGGCAAAACGCTGCTCAGTCGAGGCTCGAGACTAAAGGTGACGGAGTTTATTTCCAGGGGAAGGAACTGCTGCCACCTTTAAACCTGACTATGTAATTACTGATCATTTTTTTGTTTTTTTAAATTTGTTTTCTTAATGAAGTTCCTCAAAATCTTTGCACAAGTCCCATTTTACACATGATATTTACACTTCTAACTATAGTTTTTTGTATGTAAATCATTGTGATGCTAATAAAGAACGACAATATTCTAAAAAAAAGTCAATACAAACACACAATCCACAGAAACACTCACCAAGAATATCATCAAAAGTTGCGTGTTCGTGGTCCTGAGGAAAAAAAAACATTCACAAATATGATTAAAAGTTTCAGAAAATCCAGCACGAAGACAGAAAAATGCGTCTTAATCAGGCTGCAGCTTATTCGTGTCTGTCTGTGCAGCGTGTTTGAGTCACTCACATAGAGGATGGGGATGATGGAAGGGTCATCCCTGCGGATTATGGTGGGAACGTACTCCGCCTTGGGGACCTTGGAGGAGATCAGCTGAAGGTGAAGCAGGAGAGGAAATATTTGTTAGGCTGGATGTAAGAGACGGAGGCAGGAAGAAGATGGGAGAAAGTGGAGCAGAGAGGGAAAAGAAAAGACGATTTTAAAGTTAAAAATGAGACGAGAAGAAGGTGGAAAATGCTCTTATCACACTCTCAGGCTTTCATTGGCGCGTACAGCTCTATATAATATTCCCAGTGCTGCGAGAGAGAATACCTCAGATGTATTTCAGGTGGTGAAATGCAGCTCATCTTGGTGATAAAGGAAGGCTTTTTGAGCTCAGAAAAAGTCGTTTTTCATCCCTGATTTACTAAGTAAGGGAATGAATTTGGATTATTTCTTTGGCAATTTTGACGTACGGTCGCGACACTAAATGTAAAACCTTCTTTTATGTCGGATTGTCAAGACGGAGGTTGAGATACAAGGAGGGCTTGATGATTGAAGGGTCATTAGTTGTTAATATTTATAGTTGTAATAATAACTAGTGTATTGTTAGAACTCTACACATCGCTGGATTTCAGCCTAACTGACCGGTTGCTTGTGCACAGGCCTGTCAGTTGACATCAAAGGTAAATACCTTCAGACAGCAGCTGAAGTGACCCAAATCCGATTTTTTTTTTTTTGCCCCTATGTGACCTTTTCTGGTCTTTTCATGACAGTCTGAACAACACAGGTCCAATTAATGATGAATATCTGAATATTCGGAGCAGTCGGAGGGACGACTTCCACCCCGGGGCAGCGCTCTGACGGGGTGGAAGTGTCCAGAACACACAGGCAGTACTTGGCTGCTGATGCTAGTTTAGTTAGCGCTCACACTTCTGTTTCCACCATCAGTGGCGGTGGGGGAGTGGCAGATACGCTCCACCATATATACATATATCATAAAGGCTAGATGTCTTAAGGTGGCGTTTCGAATGGGATCACCCTTCGGCCATCTTGATACGGGGAAGCTCTCTGGCGGAACCTGTGGTACATGAAGGAAGGTGAGTGATCTGCACAAATGTAAATACTCTAAAATACAAATTGTTGCTGGCTGTGAGAGTGTAACATAATTATCCATAAGTGCAGCGTTATAACTACACCTCTGACGTTTAGAACAAACCAAACCGTTTGAAAATCGGTAGAAAATTGAGCAAGTTATGGTTGTTTAAAAAGTACACGCACCACTACAACACAATGTTATGGGTGAGCGAGCGCACCGTACCAAGATGGCCGCCAGTGTGGCCGTGCGATTCCATTGGCCAACAGCGCAGACGAGATATCCAGCCTTTATTATATATATCTATGCGCTCCACTGTTACCATCCATGTTTACTTCCGTAAACA